TTCACATAAACCAATTAATTTACACGTATTGGGGGTTTTTTTTTCAGCAAAGACATGTCGCAGAATGCATTTTGGCAGAAATTTATGACTAAATTTGATTTTTACATTTTTTTTTTGCTGGACATGTTTTATAGCAAAAAGTCCAAAATATTTTTTTTTTTCTCAAAATTGTCAGCCTTTTTTTTTTTATAGCGCAAAAAATAAAAACCGCACAGGCGATCAAATACCACCGAAAGAAAGCCCAATTTGTGGGAAAAAAAGGATGTAAATTTCATTTATGGACCTTATTGCATAACTGCGCAATTGTCCGTTAAACTAGCGCAGCGCTGTATAGCAAAAAAATGGCGTAAATTGCAGTATCTATACCATAGTTTGTAGACGCTATAAACTTTCACACAAAGCAATCAATATACACTTATTGGGATTTTTTTTACCAAAAACATGTAGCAGAATACATTTTGGCCAAAATTTATAACCAACTTTGAGTTTACTATATATTTTTTCATAGCTGAAAGTAAAAAATATTGTTTTTCTTCAAAATTTTTGGTATTTTTTTGTTTATAGCGTGAAAAATAAAAAGCGCACAGGTGATCAAATACCACCGAAAGAAAGCTCTATTTGTGTGAAAAAAAGGATGTAAATTTCATTTGGGTACAGCATTGCATAACCGCGCAATTAGCAGTTGAATTAGTGCAGCGCTGAGTAGCAAAAGAGGCCTGGTCATTAAGGGGGGGTAAATCCTCAGGAGGGCAAGTGGTTAATTAGGTAAATGTAAAATAATGCATATGAACATTTTTCATTTACCACTTACAGACCTGCATGACTCAGAAAAGGGCCACATGCATTTCCTTCTGTGCCAATAAAAATGGCAATATATTAACAAGTGGATTAACACAATTAAGGGGATTCATAAAGGGTGTTGTAAACACCCTTTAATATTTCATCGTGGCGCAGCATCAAAAATGTCAGTGCTTGTGCCAAATTCATGTACCTGAAAACAGATATACAGTACCAAAGCGCAAATCCAAATAGTTTATACATATATATATATATATATATATATATATATATATAAATGGTAAGGTAAGTGAGCGCAAACTAGCGGGATAAGCAGCTAACATACAGGGTAATCCTCAGTACCTTAAACGTGAAATATATCAAATGCGGTATGCAGCGCTAGAAGTAAATATCAAACCAAGAGAGTGTCACCATATACAGTAACAATAATATCAGACATGAATTGTGCATATGGTGTATCTGGAAATCAAATGGATATGATTCTATGTTGTTCCAAATCCAACTCGATAGAATGGAAAAAATAGTGCGGTTATGCGCTTACCACAAGTACATACAGTATAGGCATTGTATGTAAATCCTCAGCAACAAGGCATGAGGATTGCTGAGGATTTACATACAATGCCTATACTGTATGTACTTGTGGTAAGCGCATAACCGCACTATTTTTCCATTCTATCGAGTTGGATTTGGAACAACATAGAATCATATCCATTTGATTTCCAGATACACCATATGCACAATTCATGTCTGATATTATTGTTACTGTATATGGTGACACTCTCTTGGTTTGATATTTACTTCTAGTGCTGCATACCCCATTTGATATATTTCACACACATATATATATATATATATATATATATATATATATATTTACATACAGTAGTTAGTCAGGTTTAAAAAAGCCACTAGTCCATCTAGTTCAACCAATAAAAAACACACACACAGAAAACCTCCATATACACAATCCTGTACACACAATTGATCCAGAGGAAGGCATAAAAACAATAAAGAATGATCCAATTTGCTCCAGTGAGGGAAACAATTCCTTCCTGATCTCCCATGAGGCAGATGGAAATTCCATGGATCAATCACCGCTTGTGTTATTACCTCTAAATATTAGTATCCAGTTATATTTTGTGCATTTAGGAATGCAGCCATCCTTTTTAAAACAATCTGCTGAGCTATCCAGAACCAGTTCCACATTTTCACAGTTCCTACTGTGAAGAACTCTTCCTGTATGTTCTTCCAGACATGAAAAGTGCCCCCTTGACCTCTGTAATGGCCTGAAAGTGAACAACACTACACTAAGTTTAATATACTGTATATGGTGGGCCGTGCATTTCACACCTAGACCTTCAGTGATGTCCTACCGGAATTAATCCAGCAATTTTTGGCTGTAACCTTAAAAATTCAGCACAAAAAAAAAACAAGGAAAAGGAAAAAGCAGGGCCTGGATAAGCAAGAAAATGTAAACAAAATGCATTATACTCACCAAAACTACGGATTATTTGTTCACAAAATCCATCATCCTTTCTTTCTTCAAGAAGACTTTATTTATTCTGTTGTACAGTTTATCTGTGCTTTTCAGTTCCATCAATCAGTTCTTTTCTGACGCCATGGAGGCTAATGCTGAAAGCGGAGTCTGTCCAGTTGTACTTCTGGTATAAGTTATTGTATGCCTGCTAGATTGCAACATGTCGACCGCGGTCTACCTTTTGACCGTAGGCAGGTGATTGGTTGCTAGGACTGACCTAGAAACCGATCACCTGCGGCTTAATATGAAAAGTTCATCTGGCCAGCTTCTCCTCCCGTCCTCCATCCTGAGCTGTGCTTTCCCCCATATCGGTGATCTCTAGCCCCCATTCCCCCCCTCCCCCCAAGCAATGTCCTCTGCCCCTCCTCCCCCCCCCCCCCCCCCAGCAGCGTCCTCTCCTCCTCCCCTTTCCCTCCCATGGACAGGTATTTTAAAAATCAGAATTCCCAGAAAGTGGCTGGGGATTGGGATTTTTCTGCCCCCCTCCCCACCCTGGTGCCCTAAGGCAGCTGCCTAAGCAGCTTTATGCTGGCGCCCAGCTACGGCTACTTAGGCAGCTACCTTAGGGCACCAGGGTAGCTGGGGGGGCAGAAAAATCCCAATCCCCAGCCACTGGCTCGGAATTCAGATTTTTAAAATACCTGCCTTCTGATGATCCCCTTTATTGTTCTCCTGGAGCAGCATACAGCTAGCATCTCCTCATCACCCTCCCAACATCGTACAGCAACTGCAGGAGAAAAATCCAGGAAATCGGTTCTAGTAAACGCCTCCCCTGCTGCCCCTCCCATCCTTGTTCCTCTTTTTTTCTGCTGCCTCGCCCTTCCCCCAAGTGTTCCCCTTTCAACAGGGCTCCTAAAGAAATTGTGAAAAATATTAAAAAAAAATAATGTAAAACTAAAAACTACTGACACCATCCACTGCCCTACTGACAACAACCTCTGCCTTACTGACACTGTCCACTGCTCTACTGACACCATCCACTGCTCTACTGACACCAACCTCTGGCCTACTGATACCAACCTCTGCCCTACTGACACTGTCCACTGCTCTACTGACACCATCCACTGCTCTACTGACTGACAACAACCTCTGCCCTACTGACTGACACTCTCCATTTTTAAGGTAGGCTAAGTTTGTATTTTGGCTGGGTACACAGCAATCACTGGTGGATCGGCCACCCAACAGCAGTTTATGCAGTAATTTTTATAAATGGCACTGGGTAAATAAAGGGTCCAAAAAAACAAAAAAAAATAAGAGAAGCACCCTCTGAGTGCAGTATGTAAGAAATGTTTTAATGAACCACAATGTTAAAACTCACAATATAAGGAAGTTAAACAAGCCCATCAGTAGACCATTACTTTTACGGTCTACTGATGGGCTTGTTTAACTTCCTTACATTGTGAGTTTTAACATTGTGGTTCATTAAAACTTTTCTTACAAACTGCACTCAGAGGGCACCTCTCTTCTCCTTTTTTTCTTTTGTATACAGAGCTGGCTTACTCTGAGATGGCTGCTATCTGAAGTGGTTACTAGCCATAGACTTTATTGGGATTTATGGACATATAACACTGGACATTAGTGCGCTGAGATCTATCTTTTAGGCTACGTTCACACTAGCCTTGTGTGCAGGCGGCAGAGAGGCGTTTGGGAAGCGTTTTTACCGCTTCCCAAACGCCTCTGCCAATTCTACACATTACAGCACATGGTGCTGTTCTAACGGGAGCGTTTGCGTTGCGTCGCATTGCGTCGCGGCAAAACAGACGCCTCTGGACGAGTCAGGAGGCTTTGAAGCCTCCTATTCTCGTCTATGGTGCCGCTCCGCAAACGCCCGGCCGGCGTTTGCGGTGCGGTTGCGGGGCGTTTGCGGAGCGGTAACACCACTCAAACTGCATTATAGGCGTTTGTGGGGAGTTATTAACGCTCGGCAAACGCCTAGCAACTGCCGCTAAACCGCGCATGCGGCGTTTGCGGAGCGTTTGCCGAGCGTTAAAAAACGCTCCGCAAACGCCGGACCAATGCTTGCCAAACGCTATAGGGGCGTTTGGCAAGCGTTGGCAAAACAGCCTAGTGTGAACGAGCCCTAATTTAGGTAAATAAAGGGTCACTGATCCGCTGTTGAAAAAAAAAAAATCATGATACATAAGGGGTTAAACAATGGACTTTTTTATTTGTTACCTTGCCAGAAAATACCCTTTGATCATTTCAGAAATTCAGAGCTGCTCTGTCCTGTAAACAGGTGGTGGTGTTATCACAAGGAGCCTACTTAACCCTCTTAGTAGTCTTGGACTAAGTCTTGGACTGAAGAATAGTTAGTGTGTAAGTTGTAGCAATGATGACAGTGGAAGGGTTTAAGTAGTTTAGCGAAAGACAACTGGGCAGGGTTGACACTGCTCAATCCCAAAAAAAAAGTGTGCAGTTCTGGCACATCAACCGGTATTTTTCTGTACTTGCAAGGTCTTTAACCACCTCCCGCCCGCCATATAGTAATATGATGGATGAAAGGTGGTTCTCTCATTCTGGGAGGACGTCATATGACGTCCTCCCATTCTCACTGTGCAGGCGTGGCTCAGGGAGCGCGCAGCGCGGCGATCGGTGGTGCGCTGTGTCCTTCGGACACAGGGGATCATCGATCACGGAAAGAGCCGAAGATGTCGGCTCGGTCATGTGATCAGCTGTGTCCAATCACAGCTGATCACATGTAAATAGGGAAATGCCGGTTATCGGCATTTCTCTCCTCTCGAGCTGTCACGCTGACAGCTCGAGAGGAGAGGAGAGCCGTCTTTCCGCGGAGGGGACATGTACACTGATCATCAGGGCACTGATGATCAGTGTGCCCTGATGATCAGTGTAGCCCCAGCAGTGCCACCTGTCAGTGTCCATCAGTGCCTTATGTCAGTGCTCATCAGTGCCTCGTGCCAGTGCCCATCAGTGCCACATCAATGCCACATATCAGTGCCTACCAGTGCACATCAATGCCACATATCAGTGCCCATCTGAGCTGCCTTTCAGTGTCACCGATCAGTGCCAGTCAGTGCCACCTATCAATGCCAATCAGGGCCACCTATCAGTGCTGCCAATCAGTGCCAGTCAGTGCATCTTATCAGTGCCAGTCAGTGCTGCCTATCAGTGTGCATCAGTGCGGTCTTTCAGTGCCAGTCAGTGCCACCTAACAGTGCCAGTCAGTTTAAGAAAAAATAAAAAACCCAGAGGTGATTAAATATCACCAAAATAAAGCTCTGTCACAAAAAAATGATAAATTTCATATGGGTACAGTGTTGCATGACTGCGCAATTGTCATTCAAAGTGTGACAGCGCTGAGAGCTGGAAATTGACCTGGGCAGGAAGGGGGTATAAGTGCCCTGTAGGCTAGTGGTTAAAGCAATAAAACAAGAAGAAATGTGCATGTGTTGAAGAGAGGTACTGGATTCGTATTTGCCCTGACATACACTTTTTGGCTTTTTCCACACATGCAGCTGGGGGTGGTAAAATTGAGCTTCAGTTTTACCATCCCCAAATGCCCACCTAAACACAGGCATACAGCCACGTGGTTGTGCTTTGCAGCCAAAATGAAAATTTTATAACATGTCTCATTCGTCAGGCATTATTGCTGCCGAACTCAACCAATGCAAGTCTATGGGGCTGCCCTGCAACTGCATGCAATGCACACAATTGCAGCATATTAGTGTTTACAGGGCATTTACAAGGTTAAATCAGGTGGTGAGGAAGCTATTTAAATCCCCGTCCTTACAACCTGTCAAATGCCCTGTCAATGACTTAATCCAGCACAAAGTGTTAGATTGTAAGCTCCAAGGAGCAGGGCCCTCTTAACTCTCTTGTATTAAACTGTATTGTTGCTGTATTGTCTTGTATTGTATTGGCGCTATATAAATCCTGTATAATAATAATAATGTCCTAACAAACCCTTGCTGGATGAAAAATGATGAGACTTGTTATATTTGCAAATAACCACTAGATGTCACTTTTGCCCTACAATTGCTGAAGTTCTTTAGCTAACTCTAGTCTGAATGGCAAGATTTTGAATAAAACTAAAATCAAGCATCACTCAACTAAGATATAATCAAGGTTCACTCAACAAATATAAGAAAGAAGGATTATAGTTTCCCCATAGAATCTTGATCTGAATCTGAAGAAGAGCAATCCGACTAGCAGTCTAGCAGCCTAACAAATATATTAGCAATTTTACTTGAAAAAAAATATTTCTACTGATATATTTTAGGAGACCATGAAAACTAGTGAAAGGTACAAGCTAAATTAGTAAACAAAGGCAGAAATGTAGGTCAATGTATGTTACAGACAGGGTGATCTGAGAAAAGTAATCTTCTGTACCTAAAGAAAAACAACAAACAAAAAAATAGTAATTTCCTTTGCATGTGATTAAATGCATTAAGCAAACACAACCATGCTGCAAGTGAAAATGTACCCCTTTTGTCAAAAAAATCTCAGATGTATCAAATAATAGCTTAGAGCGTGAAGTCTAAAATTACATATACTGTATGATGCAGTCTGTCACCAACATTAACACAACAACAGTGGTTGCTTTTCTGAGTCCTCCCTACTTGTTGATCCTACCACTAGATCTCCCTTTTCCAAATTCCTTCCAAACTGTTCAGCAAAATTGGAAGGATTGAAATAAACCATGCTACCACATCCAGGGGGCATAGCACAGTAATTATTATTTGTGTCTATGTATTATTTCTGTAGATGTACAACGTATTAGTACATTTCAACATGGCAAATGGATTATGCATTCACCCCCTTATCATCTCTTCTCTGCTCCTTTCAAGGATTTTGATTGTAACATTGCTTCCCTGCTAAAATTGATATTAACCCCTGTCCTGCTTAAAAATGGCATATGAAGCTGACATCTTGCAGACTTCTAGATTAGGAATCTGGCTCTGCCACTCTAGTGGTCCTCTCCCATGGTGACCTCCAATGGACTTAGTGGACAAAAGGCAGGTGGAGTTAGAATCCTTCTATTTCCCACAAAGCACATTTCAGGTTCCTCCACCTCCCTTTTTATTCCTCTCTGCTGATTCCCAGTTTCTCTAAGGATTGCTGTGATTCAGTGGCCTCCTGGACTAGTGCACAATTCCATGACAACTTTTCTGCTTGGCTACTCTACATTTTCTCTACCATTCTTAGGACCTACCCTACTACATACCGTACCACTTTTTTCTTAGTAACCTTAACCCCTTGGTGCCGGCGTCTCCTGGCCCTTTAGGGGTTTGTAGCACCGAGAGGCAGAGTTTAGGGTCATGTGACCACCGTGATTGGCTGTCACAGCTGTCACATGATTGGAAAGGTCCCGATCACTACTTTCCATGAGGCTCCGATAAATGTACTGGGAGCACGCAGGGCGCACGGCTCATCATTTGTTTAATTTTGGTATGCAAATAAGTAGCCTCTCGGCAGCTGGGCCTTGATACCGAGCGGCCGCATATTTGTGTACCAAAAGTAAATAAATGATGTGTTTTGAGCGCGCACCCTGAGTATTGTCGGCACCAACAGGTTAATACCACTCTTAATGTTAACACCCCATCTATCTCCTAACTCCTCAACCCAACCTCTTCTTTTTTCTTCTAATCACTCTGATGGCAACACCCTTGACCTTGTATTCTACCACCTCTGCACTCCTTGCAACCTTCCCAACACCCCTTTTCCTCTCTCCCATCACAACATTATTTTTTTTTTTCTGCTTTTTTTTACCTACTATCCCCCCAACAGCAAACAGTGTACTTGTAGAAATCTTCACTGTTTTAACCTTTTTTCTTTCTATTCTGCAACTGACTACCTCTACAACAAACTCTCACCCTTGTCCTGCCCTGATCTGGCCACTCCTGTTCTGCCTTGATCTGGCCAATTCTGTCTACAACAGCTCAATCTCATACTACAAATGACACACTTGTTCCCTTCATTACACAGAGTTAGGCTGCACCAAGTACAACCTTTACAAATTATACCAGAAGTCATCAAGTACCTGCTCATGGAGCCTGACATGGAGAGGTAGGCATCTCTTACAACTAGAGATGCAAAATTTCTGGAAATGTTGAAGCAATGAGAAGTTTTTTTCCTCGTTTTTTTTCCCAGACAAAATGGACATTTTTGGGAAAATTGAAAAAAAAAAATTCAGCGTGGTATAATTTTACAAATTGAAAGTAATTTTGTTACACTGGGAAGATGAAATGCAATGCATATACAGTAAATATATTATGCTTGAAATAAAACCACAGATTATTCAGTAAATAAACTAAACTTGCTTTTTAAAATTTGTGATGATCCAGAAGCAGCAGAAAGAGTGTTTCTGGAACAAGAGGGAAAAGGTACTTGCATTTCCATTCTGGTCCTCATCATTTCATTCCATAAAGTATTTGTTAGTTTCTTTAGGGCACCTCTGGCATGCAATGATGTGTTTTGTCATCCTTGTAGCATTTGGAAAAGAATACTTCTTCTCACAATAATTGCAGATGGCAGGTTTGCTTTCAGCAGAAATTGCACTATGGAAATGTTTCCAAACTCTAGATGTTGGTCTCACCATTTTACTGAGAAGAGGAAAAGAAAAAAATTACTGAGCAGACTATAGGTAAACAGTATGATGGTGAAGAGCATTAGTAGGAACCATTTAAAAGTTATAACAGAAAACTAATTTGTTGGACAAATTTACCCTCTTACCTGTCAATTAAGACCTGAGAGGAGGACAGAAACTATCATCTACTGTACCCCAGCAATCAACCAACTGTAGGAGGTACAAGATGGGGCCCAAAAGCAAATTAAACTGGAGCCTTTCCTCTGCAGTACCCCCTAGTGGCAGAAATGTGTGTTTCTCTTTTTTGAGAACTTCACTGAGTTCTAGCATAATATATACAGTATATAGTATATACTGTAAGTATAGAGTTACTTGAATTGTATTCAAGGATTTGCTTGTCTTCAGCTGAGAGAACTTGCAATAATTTAAGACTTTACAAAAAGTCTCAGAAATCTTCACGCTATCATGTTTGAATACAATATCATAGATATATTATTTATCTTTGTAAAGGAAAAAGCTTTTTCTCCCAATTTTTTCAAATTTTTTTTCCAGGCCTTCGCATTTTTACTTATACCTCTAGCTCAGTACCCCTGGTAAGGTAACAGGAGGCATGAGAGCTCGGAATGGCATGAGTGCCTGACAGTTCTCACGATGACAGATGAGGATGAGTTGTCTGTGTGCACCCAGATGCAGGCTGGACTGTGAATGTTGAGCAACAGAGATGAGAGGCTTGCAGGTAACTGGCAGACAGACAGTAGGCACTTGACAGGCTGCAGGATTGCTGAGTACTGAGATGATAGCCACAGGCTCAGGATACAGAGCAGAGTCAGGCAAGCTGGGTCAGTAGCTGGCAGGCAGGTCAGAAGTAACACAGTAGACAGGGGAGTAGTCAGATGCCAGGCCAGAGTAAGCAATGGTGAGGCAAATAGGCAGAGGGTTCAGGCAGAGACATGATCTAGAGGCAAACCAGTGGTCGGTACAGGCAGAGTTCTAGCGTGGTCAAGGCAGATCGGGTTGGCAAGAAGAAATCTGGAACAGAAATGGGTTGCAGATATGCAGGAAATTCTGTAGACCATAAGGCAAGGTCCTAGTGCACCAGTGCTGTTTAAATAGCTTACTTGGCACATGTCTTGATGGCGAGCGGGCATGTGCGCTGATGTGTGCACCGGAATGCATGCACGAGCATGGCTAACAGGAATTCTGCACTTGCGCATACATTAAACACATTCTGGCTTTCCTGACACAGACCTATTTCATCACTCTCATTAACATCCCCTCATCCAATCCTTGACAATTTTTTTTATACCTTTAGCTCTTTACTAAGTCCCCAACTGCCTATTCTCACCACCAACTAATTCACTGTCCAGGACATTCTTAATTATTTAAAAAACAGGATAGATGCAATTTGTCTTGAAATAACCATGGTTCAGATATCTCCCCGACTTAACATACCATGTCTGCTACTGTATTCAGTACTGTACTCTTTTCACACTGCTATCAAAGAGGAGGTTGCTAAACTTTTTCTAACACCCAAATAACCACCTGTCCCCTGGACCTCACACCCTTGCAACTGCTGCAGTCACCCTTTTTCTCTATTCTATGCTCTCTAACTCACATCTTCAATTTGTCGC